AAAAAAAAATACCCGAGTCGGCTCGGCCCGCTAAGGCTCGGGCCTAAAGGTCGGGCCGAGCCTCATTTTTTTTGGCCGGGCCCGACTCGGCTCGGCTCAGCTCGTTGCCACCGCTAGAGTTAGCCAAACAAAATATAAGGGCTAACAATTAATAGTATAGCACTATAAAATAACAGGAGCATTAAAGTATATAAGTACACTTTGAATTTTATTTCGTAAACTTGCATTAGTTCAATGATGTCTTCTGTTGATGTACAGTGAAAAAACTTCCTTATACACTATGTTTTTAGTGCATGTCATGTGCAAAGTTTCAGCGATTGATGGGTTAAGTAAAACTTTTAAAGACTTGTTTGTTCTGGCTTTTGACAATACTAGATAAAGCTGATCATGACAAAAAGTTGGTTTTAGATGATATAAACCTACAAAATCAAGTGTTTGTCCTTGTACTTTATTTATTGTCATTGCAAAACATGACCGAACTGGAAATTGAGTTCTTTTAAATGAAACTGAAGTATGATCACTTTGTAGTGGTATAAAAGGAATTCTTGGTAAAAAAAAACATATTTTCTACAATATTCGCCAGATGTAATTTCAGTAAGAATTACAATTTTTTTCAAATTTTCGTCAAATAAGTCTGTTCCATTGCATAATCCTTCGGAATGATTAATATTTTGTAACAACATGATAGGGAAGTTCACTTTAAGCTTCAACTCATGTGGTGGAATACCATTTGAGGTTAAATTGTTCAAGAAATCTTCTTATAAAATTTGTTCTGATTGATCGATTGCTTCATCAATGCTATAGTATGTAACAATTTGACCAAGAATTTGTTCAAATAAGATTTTGTTAATATGATCAACACACTCATTTCGAGGCGTAAGAATAACTCAATTTGCCATCGTATGTAAATTGTCAGCATATGCTTCTATATTTGGAAAGATGTGGTGTATTAAAATTTTAAACTTGTAATTGCATCCTTGAATGGTACGATTATATCATTTAGAAGTTGAATGCAATTACATGAATGTTGTTGCTCTGTTCCATTCACAATTCTTAATAAGTAATCACAAAAAGTAGGATCAAACTTTGCCCTCATAATTTCAACTAATGTTAGATGTAACAATAAAGGACATAGGTAAGAGAAGACTAAACTAGCTTTTATTATGTCTTCTTTTTTCCCTCTTGATACTACTGGTAGAACTTCCGAAAATCCTCTCCAAGGACCATCACTTTACCACCGAAAAGCTAATTACAATCGTTAATGTCTTTTAACATTTTATCCACAGATTCAAGAGCACACCGATTGACCATGGGGGCTTCATCCCAAATGATTAACTTGCACATTTTCAACAAAATTCCTAAAGCAGATTGCTTGCTAACAGAGCAACTTACTTTACTTACTGTTTCCAAAGGAATTTGAAACCTCGAATGAGCAGTTCGACCTCTCGATAAAAGAAATGCAGATAGTTCAGAAGACGCAGTTGCCAAAACAATTAAATTCTGAGACTTTATATAAATATGTTTTACTTGTGCCGCCTTGAACATCAATGAAGAAAGCACCGCCTAATCCTAATGTTATTTTTTCCATAATCGTATCATATGCAATTTGTTGTTCATTATTTAAGTTTCCTACATAAATATAGCATTCATCAACATTCAAATTTGTAGTCTCATCTTCAACCATTCTTTTAAATATATCATTTTCGTTTATATTTACATTAAATGGTACTATTTTATAGTCGTTTATATTTTTACATACAGATTCTAAGATACAATTAATATCCTCTAAAGCTTGCAATTCAGCACCATGTAAAGAAATATTTTCGTGTACATAATCAGCAATCAGATAAGATTTGAATTTATTCCATAATAACTTTGGATCATTAGGGTTGCAGAGGATAAGAAGTGTAGCAAAGAGACATATTAAAGAAATATGCATTTCATAAACAATAGCTTCAGATAAACATTCTTCACAATGATTATCTCCACCTAATAAACCATGTAGAAGCGCTACTTCTCGATATATAACAACAGTAACTCCATATAAAGTTCATAAATCTTGAAATGATGTAGAACCTCGAATATGATTCATAAGAACATGAAGGAAAAATCGTTTTCTTTCAAATGGATTTACTGTAACAATTCGTCCTATAACAATTTATCATTATTATTTTTTGAGACTCCAAATTTTCTTATTTGTATTCCAAACAAAATGTGTTGGAAAATCTTGATATAAAAGTGTACGTGCAAACTCATCTACTTCATTCAATCGAAAGAATTCCATCAACATTGTTTTTCTTGTATTTTCATTCTCAACAACAGTAGATAAATCATCTTTATTATCATATGTTACTTGTTGGTAATTTTCAACATGAAGTTGTAAAGAATAAATGATCGAACAAATTTCTAATAGAGTAAAGGAAAAAATCCTCCACATAATTTCAAGTGGAGATATCCATCTAGCATATTGGTAAACAGAAATTTCATCAACATTTTTCTCTATTTCGTGTGTANTGGCCACAGTTGAAAATTAACAATAGATGTGCATGAGGAAGTCCTCTTTTTGGAAATTCAATCACATATATATGTGCAATAACAGGGACTAAGATACTTCTTTTATATAAATATTGTTTCAATTCTTTCAATTTTGCTCTAAATATACGTGCAATTAGATCTGATCACTTTTGAACTTCATCATTCATTTTTAATTCTTGCCTAATCTCAGGCCAATTCGAATTATTTAGTCAAAAATATATCTGATTTTCTATAACGTTGTACAATACCATTACATCCATATATCTTCTTAACATTTCACGAGGTCTATATGTAAAGGATTGCGGTAAAACAAATTTTCTTCCAACTTTACACCCTCTTATTTTCCCATTTTGAACATTGTCTACAATAACTTGGTAAAGTTCAGCAAGAATTTGTTTTTGGTCATTGCAAAAATAGTCTAATTTCGTAGTTTCAATCTTAACATACATATCTACGACATATTGTTAAAATAATCTACTAATATGAAGTAACACAGACTTATTAGAAGTTCTGATTTGTAATTTATATGAATAATACTCTCGACGAAATACCTGTGCACGTTTATTCGCATGACCAAGCACTACAACACCAAAAGAGAAACTAAATTCAATATTCATTGATACAGTAAAATACTACAAAAAATTTTAAAAATTTAGCAGTAGATATATTTGCTAACCTTGATTCTTTTTTTCAATAAATTCAACCGTAGAAGTAGTTGTGTTAGGAAAAACATCAAATATGGACATTTGTTGAGATTGGAAGTATGTACTTTATATCTCTCAATACCTTCATGCCAACCAGATTCTCCATATGGAAAAAGTAATGGATATTACAACGGATCATAACATCCATAATAGTAATGACCTTTATATGAATCATTAGAATGGCCGTATATAAAAAATATCACGAGCACAAATATTAGCATTTTCATCATTTTCGACCCCTACGGCAGCTACTTGAGATGTTGTAGGTATATTAAAAACTTTTTGATCAAGTCCCGGATCGCATCGTATTTGTATTTGATGATCATGTAAATTAGGCATATCACTTAAAGAATTTATGCAAATCATTAGAATGACCGTATATAATAATATCACGAGATTGAATATTAGCATTTTCATCATTTTCGACCCATATAGCAGTTACTTGAGATGCTGTAGGAGTATTAAAAACTCTTTGATCAATTCCTGGATTGCATAGTATTTGTATTTGATGGTCATGCAAATTCGTCAGAGTACTTAAAGACCTAAAAATTTTACTGTATGGATTTGTTTTCAAGATTTCAATTAATAATATTAAAGTAAATTCAACAAAATTTGATGAAATTTTCATTCGATTATGCAATTCGCTTTCTGTATTTTAAAAATATAATTGCATATAAGAAGACTTATTATTTTTTGGCATAAGTTCACTTACATAGTGATGTACTTGTTCTTGAATTCTAAATGTGTAAAAGCAAGATGATTATTTTTAAATTCCATAAAATAAAGTTCTTTAGAAGTAAACAAATTATACAATTCAACTTGTGAGTCACATATAAAGAGCTTAAATTTTCCATTGGAACAATAGAAGCTTTTAATTTCTCTGTAAAATTTACGTGCATTACAATGTTTACAATATATGAATGCTGATAATACATATGTAGCAGACGGAATGTTCAATCCCTTAAAAGTGTCTTCTAATTCAGATTCAGAATTGAGAATATTAGATCTTTCTTGATTCGAATTTGAATCGTCATGAGAATTTTGGTGCACTATAGATTCATGTTGTTGGGCAACAAGAGAAAAATTATTTTCAAATAACACAGGGTCATTTCTCCTTTTATGGTAATTACTGTAATTATTTCTAAGCCTACTTCGTTTATCTCTCTCTCTTTTGAATTCGTTGTTGATGAAAGGAGACCATGTGTGACTCATTTCAACTTTCAAATTTAGTATTAATGTTAGCAACAACATTGTTTTCATGAACAAAAGTTTCCAAAATATCCATCACGACAGCATAAAAAATTCTTCAATATTTCAACTCCAATGTAAGCAGTATGAACTAAGAGAATTCAAGAGGTCCTGTTTGGGAGCCATTTTCTTCCCAAAAGTAGAAGAAATATTACCGTTGTAAGCTGGGCAGCTACCATGTTTGACTGCCTTTGTGTGTAGTGGGCCCGGGTGTGTGGAAAACGAAACAAAAAATTCTAGAAATGGGAAAACTATGGCTCCCAAATAGGGGCAAAATGTTATATTAGTAAGTGTATTAAACCATTCATATGGAAGAAAAAAAAATCATAAAATGATAAAATCAAATTGGAATTTAAAGATATATTAAAGTGTCCAAACTTTCTAACAATATAATAATTCAATAACATCAATTACACAAAAACTTAAATATTAATGATAATCAGGCATTTGTAGAAAAGCTTTAAATGATGCAAAAGAGAGTAGTAAATAATAATACTAAACGGAATAAAATATATATAATTATAGAAATAAGGTAGACAGATACAAAATAACAGAAACGAGTTAAAAAGACACAAAATTTGAAGCTCAAAATCAAAGTACAAACAAATTATTTTTAAATATTGAAATAAAAAAAAAACTAAAAACAACATAATACTAAACTGTACAACTATGAAAAAAAATTAACTATGAAATTGACATACTACAGTTATGGCAAAGAATCAAACCTCAAATCATGATAAATGAACACCTGAACAAATGAATTGGAAAAATGAAACAAAACTAACCTAAAGAACCAAATAAACCTAAAATGCAACAGCTATCAAATTGATATACCTCAGTTAATTGATCTCCTATCCAGCTTGCAATATCTCCTTATTTTGAACAGTTGAACTGAAACTGCAAACCAAACAAGCATAAGAAATTCCTAATTAACACTAAATCAAAGAGGAAGATAACAGTATATGCACAAAACCAACATATAACCCAAGAACGAACAACAGATAGCAGAAGGATGGAAAATGCCGGTACAGTCGGTGAGAATTTATGTTTTACCTCTTTATCTTTACTTAAAGATGGAGAGAAGATATGCACACACCTAAAGATAGAGAGAAGATTTGGATACAAAAATAAAATTAAGATTGATACGAAAGAATTTGGGTACCACAATACATTGTTAGAAGAAAAAAATATGCAGTACATAGGAAAATGAATATACTCTGAATTTGGAATAGAACAAATGTTGACCAATTTAAATGAACATTAAATGAAGTGGGGCTTCTATTGGTTGTTGTTAATTATAGTCAAATATATATCAGATGAAAAGTAAACGAAATGAATGCCAAATGAACATTTCAAAAAAATGAACATGCCAATTGAAATGAACATTAAATGAAGCAAACCTCTATTGGTTGCTGTCAATATAGTCTCAAATATATAAAGGAAGTGGATGGCCAATTTTCAACCATTATTATAATAAAATGAGAAAATTTTAGTCAAAAAAAACCAAGTCAAGAATAGAAAGTAAAGCAACCGCAGAATGAAACAGAATAAAACCAGTACAAGTGTGAAAGAGAGGGCACGAGATGAATAGTAAACTTCGCATCCTCTCTTTTAAAGTAAAGGGGATATCAGATGAAAAGTAAAAGAAGTGGATGCCAAATGAACATTTCAAAAAAATGAACATGCCAATTGAAATGAACATTAAATGAAGCGGGCCTCTATCGATTGCTATCAATATAGTAACAAATATAGAAAGGAAGTGGATGGCCGATTTTCAACCAATCGATTGCTATCAATATAGTCTCAACTATATAAAGGAAGTGGATGGCCGATTTTCAACCATTATTATAATAAAAGAGAAAGAATTTTAGTAAAAAAAAAACAAGTCAAGAATAGAAAGTAAAGCAACCGCAGAATAAAAGAGTATAAAATCAGTTCAAGTGTGAAAGAGAGAGGGCACGAGATGAATAGTAAATTTAGCATCCTCTCTTTTAAAGTAAAGGGGAATATAGCATTCTTTTTTATAATGCTATAAAATAAAAATAGTTTTTATATAAACATAATACAATGTGATGTTATATGGAACCATAATTTTCAAATTTACATTTCAAAAATCAGATACAAAGTTTATCTTTACAAAACTAAGATCATAATTAAATATTTAAATATTAATAATAATATTTTAAAACTAAATTAGGTCCTGTTTGGGAGGGATTAAATTTTTTTACAATAAATCAATTCTCATTTTCAACCACACATTTTTCAATAAAATAATATTTTTCATCACATCAATAATTTTTTCTTCTTTTTTAACCACACATTATCCATCATATCACTATTCAAAATCAATT